AATAACTTAGGATATTATGTTTATTCTACTTGTAATTGAATCTTATTGATCAAAACCAGGTGGTTCTTTTCACAGACCCAAATAAAAAATTACAGAACATACACAAAGCAACCAGGAAGAGGAAAAAAAAAGGTTGAACTCGAGAACACTTTTGTTTACAATTGATGAATTCAGTAGACCACAAATCGGAAAACTATATCACAAATCAGAAAAATTCGAAAAGCAACAAGCAATATTAGTTTCACTTTCTCCTTCCAATTTCCAAAAAACCCCCCACGAAAAATCGCTTACTAAACAAACCCGGTAACGACAAGTTGACTTACATAATCTTAAGTCAAGTTTCAAGTGTAAAAATGTAATATTACGAAAACAGACTAGTCTCACGTAAACCCAACCTTATGTATATATGTATAGACCAAAGCAACCCTTAATTAAAAATAATCCACAATTAATCTTTTCTGTTTCATAAATACATGTACTCAAATAAAACACGTTAGCTCCATTTATAAACTTGATACCCGTAAGACCAATTCTCAATATATATATATATATATATATATATTTTCGTGATACCCGTAAGACCAATTCTCAACCCTTGGATTAGATCTACAATCTAACAATTTGAACATTCATAAACGCCACGAGACTTCTCAATAATCACAAAATTGCCACCGTGCAATTTAATTAGATCATTAACTTATAAAGTTGATCAATGAACATAAATTGGTCTTACGGGTCTCACGAAAAACTCTTGGTCTCACATGAACCCAACCCTATATATATAGACTTGGGATCATGTGAGACCAATGGTTTTTCGTGAGATCCGTAAGACCGATTCTCAACCCTTGGATTAGATTTACAATCGTCAGATCTGAACATTCATAAATGCCACGAGACTTCTCAATAATTACAAGATTGCCACCTTGCAACTTTAGACCAGTAGATCATTAGCTTATAAAGTTGATCAATGAACATAAATTGATCTTACGGCATGGGCGGACCTACTTGGTTGGCATGGGTGGCACGTGCCACCGTATTATTTAGCCACCGAAGGGTAAAATTTTTAGGTTTGTTAACGGTGCTACCKTATCGTTTTGAAAGGTGCTACCGTATTTTTTTTTTCTGAATTTCAAATAGTGCAACTAAATCTAAAACCCAAACAAGATAAAGTCCAAATAAAATAGATAAGTAAGCCCAACAAATTGATTAATCTAATAACATAAGTTTAGTAAGCCCAACCAGCCCAAATAAAAGTAAAGTAGATAGAGCATATTGTTTGCCTTGTTACTTATTCAGAGACCAATGTGGGAATCATGGGATAGATGCTTTGCCTGTTGCAACTGCTACGGTTGAAAGATGCTTTTGAAGCTTGTCAAGACAGATTTACGTAATCGAATTGGTGATATTTTTTAAATTCTGCCCTCATTTGCGCCATAGAAAAGGAAACCCTTAATAATGTTAAAAACGAAGATGTCATTGATCGTTTCCAAAAGATGAAGACACGTTGAGGACAAATTTAGGAGTTGTTTCTCAACATACTTTTTGTAATTATTTTTTGGTATATATTGACCGTTTTCAAAAGATGAAGACGCGTCGGGTATAAGTTTAGGAGTTGTTTATCGGTACTATAAAAACCATATTTTTTGTAATTAATTTTTAGATATATATTATATTATATTAATTATATGGTGCCACCGTATGAAAAATTTTCTGGGTCCGTCCCTGTCTTACGGATCTCACGAAAAATTTTTGGTCTCACGTGAACCCAACCCTATATATATATATAGATATATATAGAGAGAGAGAGAGACGGTAGTTGTGGTGGGTTTGTTCTTGAAACAGTAACAACAACTATGTCATCATACTCAAATGACAATAACTAAACACACATTACACCTTTTCCAAACACATCCAATTAATAAACATTAATGCTTCTTAAAGTTCCATCATTACCCCTCCCTTGGGACCCACCAAAACAACAAATTTCCATGTGACAATCTTCAATAAATTCCCAAAATTACCCATTCCATTTTAGAGCATCTCCAATGGAGTGTCATGAGAAAGGTTAATGGAAACCATGATATGCATCATACATTGTGAAGGGAGTGTTATGGGAGGTTAATGGGGAAAAGGTTAATGGCCATTGTACGCATCATGGGGAGGAAGATGAGACCCATTAATTTATTTTTTCTTTTATAATTAAATTTGTAAGGATTTAATTATGATATTNNATTAATTTTTATTTTTATTACATTAATTTTAAAATACATTACATAAACTACATTTAGTTTTAATTTCATGCTTGTATTTTATAATTAACTGATGTATTTTTTCTTTTATAATTAACTGATGTATTTTARTCTCGTACTTTTTRTTAAATGTATTTTAATTTCGTTTCATTTTCATTTTAATGTATTATTCCTTGTTTTTAGTAGATTTTTAAATTTGTTGGTAAAATTATATTTATAGATAATATATATATATATATATATGTATATATATATATATATATGATGTGGAAATCCATTAAACTCATTGGAGTGTGGATATAAAATGATAGAGTTGTATGGTGAGTGGAATGCTGATGTGGCAGTCCATGACACTCTGGTAGAGTATCATGCACTGGAGGATGCCCTTAAACCCATTTTCATATCATAACATTAGACCTCATCCTTGTATTTCTTTTCTAAAGAAACCTTAGTGGTAACCAGTAGCAGATCTTAGAATTTTTGGATACGGTCGTACCATGTAAAATGGTTGCATTTTTTACGAACTTAAAGAAACAATATGATGGCACGTGTCACCTAATCACCCCTCAAGGTCCGTCTACGGTCGTGCCCATCTCTTATTGGATGTATTCTTGTTTATATACTGAAAGAAGTGTTGTAACTTTTGTGTGTCTTGACATACCAACTTTTTACGATACTCCACCTTCATGCATCATCTGGTTGGTTAGTTGGTTGGACCATCCTTATCATCATCTCTTGATCACTTTTCTGAAATGGGACCAATCAATTCAATCCATTATTCTTAATACATCTTTGCATCACATGATTCTAATATTGTCAACCATATTAATTATGTCCTCTAAATCTATACATATCTTACTTATATTATATATATATATATATATATACACACACACATACACACATAGTATAGTCTCTAACATGTAGTTCGGTTGACAAATGGATAAAATAACTTTGTCCAAATACAAGACATGTCCTGGATTCGATCCCAAGATCCCTCACTGGCCTCAGCTTCTGAGTGTGAGCCAAAAAATCCCCCTCACATGGGTGTCTTTGGAACAAAATGAGAAAGAGATGAATCGTGCAAGTTTTGAAGCGCTAATTGATGTTCGTTTTGAAGGGCTAATTGATTATTGTGACTTCAAGTCGGAACAACCTCTTTATAGCGTTAAGCCAACGTACGTGCATTTAATTGTTTATTTAAGGGCTAAGTAATTAATTTGATACTAGTTGTGACATAACTAATAAAGTTATTCAAGTACCTTTGATTTAACGATTCTTTCTTAAATAACTAGAATTTTTTCATACACTCAACAACCGGTTGTTATCTCTTACACCATCTTTGATTATAATTGATTATTTGATTTTGACTATTTAATATTATATAAACAATTTTTTAAAATCGGAATTCAAAAACCCCTTTATAGACCTAGAAATGAAAACTAATTAATTAATTAAATTTATAATCCAATCAAGTCGCAAAATTAAAGAGACACATGCTACATATCATTTAAGCACATAAATTAAATCGTTATTTGGTTAAATATTAAATGAAGCTAAAATAACCCTAAATTATCATAAAAAGTAATTCAAAATCTATATTCGAGCAAATAACTTATATTAGTATAAGTAATTCTACAAATCAAATGGGATTTACCAACATTGGTAATCCGTCAAAAAAAGTCATCACTAGCGGATCTCATCGCCGGAAAAATTGTGGCTGGTGTCTATGATTATTGACGAATTTTCAATCGCCGACTGAAAAATCCGTCGGAATTATTGACGGAAGCTACCAGTAAAGTCTCTTTGTCTTGTAGTGAAGGCAATAACAAAGGTGTAACAACATATACATCATGAGGTAGGTTCTTATGTAAATGACACCTAAATAAGAACATGACAAAATTAAGTACAAAATCAATTATTGTACATTAACGGTCAAAAAAATGTGTGCGAACAACTTTGGCCACAACCTTAGGTCGTGGGACAAAGTCGCGTGAATCACATGTGATTTTATACGTGATTTAACCATTTTCTTATCAGGTACCATTCTCATATGCACCCGACTCCATACATTATATATATATACACACACACACACACACGTGATAATATATACATGAGGGGACTTGGTGGTGTGCGGCACCTTAGCTAGGCCAGGCCGAAGCCGCACACATCTCTAATTAGTATCACATGTGATCAAGTACATTAAAAAAGTATTATTGTTTGAACCTTTTTTCGTGTGTGTGTGTATATATATATATATACATGTGTGTATGTATTCAAGGATAGAAAAGAAGTCGGATGAAAATGGAAGGATTTGTAATTCCCAACGAGTTAGAATTAGTTAGCATCATCAAACATGACCAAAATAAACGGAAAAAAACAAGATATTTAACAGAGTAAAGAGCATCTTGGGACATATTTTTCTATGAAAAAGATGTGGGGATCGGAATGTTTTTGCTGCATGTATATATATATATATATGTCCATCAATCACGATACAATGATACTGTTTGATGTAACATCAAGGTCAATAACCTACCTAGCTAAACACACTATTATTCATATCCATTGCTACTTATTTTTAAACGAGCAAATATATATATATATATATATATATATATTTATATATTTATATATATGTATATATAGGTTTATTTCTTTTGTATTTTCGATAAAGTTGACTGTAAAGATTTAGGTGATGGAATGGAAAAGAAATAAATCAAGAAAACTGGAATGGGATGATGTCAACTATACCGACAAGTGGTAAAAGGGATCTGGGGACGATGACTGTGATGAAGATTGGGCAAAGCTCCATAATTCGATCTCGTTTGTATAGCCTACTGCAGCTGTTTGATTCGGTCTAGCCATGGATGTGGAGCCATGTAGCTGTGATGGTTCAGGTTCTTGATCATGGTGGTGAAGTGCAAAACATATGTCTTCATTGGGTTCATCGTAGCAACCATACATCTGTTTCGATGGGTGTACTTGACCATTGAGTTGGGAAGCCACTAGCCGGTCTAGATCAGCCCAACTGTCCCGATGTTGTTCCCTTGTGTCACTCGTGTTCATGGAGTTTTCCGGTTCTGTCAACAAGTGGGTCATGGAATTATGGGTCTGGAAACTGGAGTCTTGATCGAAGGTCGTGGCTGAACTGAAGGGACCAGATGTGGTCATGGTGGTTGTATCGAGCCTGGGGAGGTGGAGGAATCGTTCGTTGGTAGGGTCCACCAGTTGTTCCATTGGATTATAATCACTGGTAGTGGTGGTGATATTGGCTACAGACTCCATTTCTTTCTTGCAAGATCTATTTCCAATGTAAACAAGAAACTGATCATGAACACCACCATCTCTGTTTAAAGATTGCATTTGAGGATTCGAATCAATTGAAGGCGCCGATGATGATCTCTGAGGGCTTTCCAGTGCTTTATGGTAGTTTTTCTTCTTGAAAACACGACATACCACCCACCCTTCTTCTTGATTCGAATCACATAAGTTAGAAACCTGCAGAAATCATCAAAAAGTTTGTTGCTTTTCTCTAAAAACAGATACAGATTATTTGCGTATATATATATATAACTTACAGATCCATAATCTTGGGTGGTAATCGTATCATCATCGAGCCTATATTCATGCATAATCCAATCGGATTTTTGGCCATGAGGTGCTCTTCCTTTATAGAAGACAAGTGTCTTCCTCATCCCGATTCTTCGAAAGCTACTATAGATCACCTTATCTCGACCAGTGGCTTTCCAGAAACCAGCAGCAGTGGCACGATTTGTTCGAGTCCCAGTTGGGTATTTCTTATCTTTATGACTAAAAAAATACCAATCGTTTTGTGGGGTGGATCCTATTCTGCACTTCTCTATATACAAAACCACAATCGACATAGATTAAGAGGATATGAATCATATAAAACGATCAATATTTCTTGCATGCATAAAGGGAACTAATTTAGAATCAACGATGATCACCTTGGATATCCCATGGTTCAAGCTTGTTAAGATCAACATCATGAATAACATCCAGATCTATCTTTTCATACGCAACTTTCTTCCTCAAATAGTAATGAAGAAGTTCTTCCTCCGTGGGATGAAACCGGAACCCCGGTGGCACCTTCGACTGACCATTTACGTTCACGGAAAAACTCATTTCTTCTTTCGACGACGACATGATTAATCAAGAAAGAGAAAAAAGATAATTAACAGAAAGCAGCAAGGAATGCAAGATGATGATTTGTATGTGAAAATCAAAAGAACATTGCATATGTGCGTAAAGATGAATGTGTATATATATATATATACACACACACAGAGACAGACACACACACACAATATATACACTTTACTAGAATGAAGTAGTTAGGAAAAGAAAACATGAAAATGGAATAGAAGGTTCATAATGAGGTACCAGACTTTGGAATTGGTGGCAAGCTTTTGAATGTAGGGTTGGGGTATGGAAAACAACTAATCACCTACTGATCAAAAACATAAGGACGGAGAGAGATGATAATCGTGAGTTGGGACATGTAAAGCGGGTCCCTGATAGAAAGTAGCCACGGGGTGGTGCCCATGGCTGACTGTGAGCCACCATCTTAACTCTGACCTTGGACCTAGCTAGCTAGCTTAATAATATATGTATGTGTGTATATATATATATACATGTGTCTGTATCTTGCCAAAATCACATCCAGAAACCACCATTTTCTTCAAAGAATCTCACGTTTTATTCGTATAATTCCATGGAATATTTAGCCATGGTATGCGCACTAATTGTGTATATTATGTAGCTAGCTATATATGAGATAGGGTTTTGGTGAGAAAAGTAAGAAGAGTTCACCGAGAAGCATCAGATCAATTTCTGTGATAACCACAATTTATGGGGGTGATATTAAAAGTGATTAAGGATCCAGATCTCTTCTTACATTTCTCATTTTAACTTCTATTCTCATACGATTATTCATCTATATATGTACATATATATATATATAGAGAGAGAGAGAGAGAGAGAGAGAGAGGAACTGCGGCTTGAATTTTGTAGACATGGTGGTGAACCAACACTATAACAGAACCGGGTTTAAAGGACGTATATAGCCCATATTTATTATTTACTACAACAAATTAGGTTTATAGAATGTTAACAAAGTCCTTGGGCGTGTACCTGAGTTCGCAAATGAGCGTAACGACTTTGTTCAAATATACAACAGGTTCAAACTCGGATCCTGCGGGAGATTGGGCTTAAACCCCTCATCTAGCCTTGGCAGCTGAGTCAACTCTGAAATGTCTCCTCCATGTGGTTTCTAGTGGGCGGGATTCTGTGTGAGGTTGGTCGGGGTTGACGGCAATCAACTTTTTGATCCAAAAAAAGAATGCAAAAAATGTGTAAGTGTCATAATATAATGTTGTATAGGACTTAAGTTTATATTACAAACAATTATATGTCATATATAAAAGAGTTGTAATAAGCTTACAAGACATCTTAAAAAAAACTAAAGATTTCTTAAGACACTTTTATAAAGTGTCTTATTAAAAAGCTAACATGACATTTTATTTTAAATGTGTCCTAAAAGACTTGTTAAGACGTATAAGAAAAAAATTCTTTTATTTTCATTCTATTTCTTTAATTTCTTTTGTTTCCAAATTCAAAAAGACAAACACTTTCTATTAAACGGTTTATTAACAGACTTATATCAAGAGTTTGGCTTTTTTGATCGTTGGAGTCACGTTTGGTACACGGTCCCATTTGATGCACGATCGAACCTTTTGACATATCATTGAGAATTGAAGTTAGTTAGAGAACAAACAAGTGTGCTTTCATATCTAAAACCTTGCTTTACAGCCTACATTATATATATGGACCATGAGTTTGTTGCTACTCAAAAGTCGTCGGGTATGTCCTCCCGGTCGGAACTGACTTCTGCGTACGTGAGTTATCATTGATTTGAGGTTGTGGGCCTTTTTTTATATATAAATTGTGATTAATTACAGCTATCAAGTGTATTGCAGACACAAAACGGAAAACAGGTTGAACCCAAAACCTTTTTTTTAATATAATTTATATCTCAAAGAACTTATTTCTAAGGTTGCAAAAATTAAGTTCTATTTATAAGGAAGGTAATCTAAATAGAATTCTAAACTAAATATTGATTCTAAAGTAGTTGGAAAGACGATTAAAACATAAATGAAGGAAATACCGAAACGAGCATGAACGGAATATGTTTAGACGTGAGCGGACAACCTGTGCCGCAGGAGATGGTCGTGTGTGGAAACCAACTCCGAAGAGAGAGGTGGCCGGGGATGCGATCCCGGATGCGGGCTTGGTCTCGTGCAACGACGATAATGAATTATATTAATTGTGATGTTTTATTCGTAATTTGGGCTCATTTTGAGCCCGTTTTCGTTTCTCCCATTGATCCATAATAAAGTCCATTGACCTTTGGGTTTGCTCCGCATCAATTTGTTATATTAAATAAGAAAAATGTTATTATATATCGTAGATAAATAAAATTAGGTTTATAGAATGATAAAATATTTAAAATAAATTAATAGACTGTTTTATAGAACTTAAGTTTATTTGATGAAACAGTAACACACTCTATCTAAAACTGTTACAGTAGGTTTATAAAACATTTTTTAGCGTTTAACAAGTTTTTTTTAAGAATTAGTTATATAAAACATTTTTGATAAATGTTATGTAAGTATATCTGTATTTATAGGGCATTCATTTTCTTCAAGTTAATAATAATAGTTAATACAATATTTTGTATCAAAAACGTCTTATAAACTTATTGTAACATTTTTAAATAATACATTTCATTGTTTTTTGCTAAACTTAACTCCTACTAAAACATCTGGACCTTTTTTTTTATGTCATATAAACCCAATTCTATTGTATTAGCCAAACAGAAACAATAAATTCTGAGGCTTCATCCTAAAAAGATTTAAAAAAAATGTAAAAACGAATTTAAAAGTTGATGAAAAACTAAACGGAATATTACTCATCAGATGAAGGAATTATAAACACAATTAAGATCAAATATAACAAACAATAATCGATTATCTGATTGCGAAATCAAGTTCTGTCACTATGTCTATGTTACAGTTTAGAGGTTAATTTTATAAAACATATATATAGAGTCATGTTTAGGGGAAAACCGTAAAAAAAATGAAAAACTAAGAAACACTCTGATAATTGTTCATCGGTATGCACATGTGTATACAAGTCATTTTTAAGCAATTTGTTCAGTACACATGAGGACAAACACGCACACATGCATAAAAACCAAAAAAACAATTTCAATTAGTTGTATGCATATGTGTACACCATCTAGATCAATGGTTAACAAGATATTTCTTTGGTTTTTATTTTATTTTATTGTTTTGAGGTTTTCCCTTGACCCCATCTCTTATATATATATATATAATTATTTTATTTGCCGTATTTTTTGGTCATTTTATGCTTAAAAGAGCATTATGGAACGCATGTAGCCCATAAATGTTTCATGCCTGTCTATCAATGTGTTGTGGTCAATATTTTTATACACACGTGATAACGAATGGCTTAAATATCCGACGCGTGGGCAATTTTAGTGAAATCATCGATCTATTTGTGTAATTGAAGTTAAACGAGGATATGAAGTTGTTAGTGAAGCTATATATGACACCGGCTATGGGTGTGGGATGCACACTCTTGTAAGCTTACTAGAACCTGGTGACGACTAAATGATGTCACATGATAGAGGTTAATGAGGTCGCCCCCCTTTGTGAGGTCTTAGGGGCAACGTCCTGGGCGGGGATCCAAGCGATAGCGTCCCTAGCAATTGTCTCAAAGAAAAAAAAACCAAAATCATGTTCTAAGAATTCAAACTTTTTTCAATCTCTCGATTGTTCCTTTTTTGATTTTATAAAAGTTTGAACTTCCGTCCGATGCATAACCTCGTTGGACCCCCCACTAAGGATCAAGGGGGTCACCCTCTTTTGTGGTGTCGTAGGGGTAGCGTCCCTACTGGTGATTAGGGATGGCAAAAAAATCCGAAACTGATGGTGAAAACTGAAAACCGAAACTTTCGAGTTGGGTTCGGGGATATCTTATTAGGGACGGGGCAAGGATCGGGGACAAATTCGAAGATTTTAACGGGGACGGTGATAACCGGCCCGACTCGGCTATGTGTGTGTGTATATATATATATATATATATTAATTTTAATTTATATACATGCATATATATATAGGGGGAACGATCAAATGCAAACCACTCAATTTGTACAAACCGTGCAAACCGCATTCAACCAATCATAATTTTTTATTTTGTTCATTTTTTTGTAATTATG